ACGAAGCAGAAGGTAGCCAGCACCAAGACTTTCAGGTGGCAAACCAAGTTGAATAGCACCCTCAGCTCGGGGAATGGCTGAAGGCCAACTAGAGTACCAGTAAGTTAAACTTTCATTCCTAAACTTTAATCCCTTAGCCCCCTAGACCCCTAAACCCTTAAACTTAAGCCCGAAACCCCCCCCAAACCCCCTAGACCCCCTAAGCCCTTTTAAACCGCAGCCCCAAAGCCCCACCTGTCGATGGACATCCTTCCAGTCCTTCGCGCTGATGCTCAGACGGGCAATCGCTCGACGCATTCTGCCTTTGGTTTAGGGTTTAGGGTTTAGGCTGCCTTTGGCACTTGGGGGGCGGGGGGGCGGTTGAAATTCGATCCGGATTCTTCGGGGTGTTTTTGCTCGATACAGATTCTCCGGAGCAATGGAAGGGTTAGGGCACTCAAGCCCTAAGCCCTAAACCCTAAACCCTAAACCCTAAAGGAAACGGCAGCTTTAGGGTGTTGCTTTTGTTGCGGCGGGTGCGGACTTAAAGGTATTCAGGGCTTAGGGCGAGGTCAGGCGGTCAGGCTTCAACCGTGGCTTGGGGCTGTAGGGTTTATGGTTTAGGGTTTAGGGGTTTAGGGTTTAGGGTTTTTCCTCAGGGTTCGGCGGGTAAGGCCATTAAGGCTGCATAGAGCTGTAGGAGTTGTCCAGGGAAGGTTTGGGCTTCATGGGGCTCGGGGTCTATAGGGCTCCAGCCAAGAGAGCAGCCAAGGGCTGAACCTCTCTTATTTTTCCCCATCAAGTCTGAGACTTTGCCCCAAACCCTAGGATGGGCCTTAGGATTTTGGGGTAAACCCTAAACCCTAGGCTGGGTGTCGGGCTCATGGGCTTTGGATTCAGGCGATCGCAGCTTGTGCCGGTTTCGGTCACAGGCAGGTTTCGGGTTGCAGGCTTGTGGTGCTTGGGTTTTACTGTTTAGCGTTTAGGGGGATAGGGTGTAGGGGTTTAGGGTTTAGAGGTTTAGGGTTTAGAGGTTTAGGGTTTAGAGGTTTAGGGTTTAGAGGTTTAGGGTTTAGGGGTGTAGAGGTTTAGGGGTGTAGAGGTTCAGGGATTTGGGTTTGCGGGAGGTTGCGGGTCAGTGCTCAAGGTTTGAGATTTAAGACATGGAGTATTAGGGTTCAGGGTTTAGGGAGTTTACCTTTATAGGGTTTAGGATTCAGGGTTTAGGGGTTTAAGTTAAGGTTTAGGGGTACCGACACAAGGTGATCTTATCGGCATCATCCTTTCCTGGTGGCGCAACTGAGCAACAAAAACAAAACGTGGCAAAAAGGCACCGGGAAAAGGGCAGCGCTCGGTCACTTGTCGAATTGGATGGCCGGGTGCAGCAAAGTCCCTTGGCAATCGCAACACCCCTAAACCCCAAAAACTAGATCGAAATCCTGTGGCTGATAACCTGAGAAAACGAACGGTATGTCCCCAACAGTCTTCTCCTACTCGGCTACTCGGGGCAGCCGACGGCATCTGCGGAATGAAACTCGAAACGTACTATATAGCCCTAAAATGCCCGATGCCGTCCTAAGCAGCACCCCTTCATCCAAGAACATTGGGTTCTCTTGGATTTGGAGTACTAGCATCGATCACGAATCTGCAGTGAAGAAACCTTGCAGCCGAACAGTGTTCAGAGTTATGCATGAGTTCAAACCTAGTTAAGGCCTATACTCATCAAGAGGTCCCCATTTACACAATCCCCAGAAAATGATCTTGAGTTGCCACCTTGCCATGGGCCTGGAAAACGAAGAAGGATTTTCGCTTATCGTCAATATGCCGATTTACGAATAAATCCCCAAACCTTATTTCTCATAACTAATTAAGGCTCACACGTACGGCCTGGTCCTAAAACCCCAAAATCGCCAAATCAACGCTGCAACTCTAAACCTCGGCTGCCGAGAACCCTACACCCGTGTTACTTTGGGGTTTAGGGTTTAGCAATAAACCTCGGGCCCAAGCTCTCAACCCTTACCCCTGAAAACTCAACCCCAAGCATATTAAGGGCGCCCACCGATTGCTGGGCATTGCGGGGCGCACAACAGCCGACTGAAGAGGATGATTTCGGGTTGGAGGGCTCAGGGTTAGGTTGTGGGGTTAAAGTTTGCGCCTTTGAGGGTTTAGAGCTGGGCCCCAGGAGGGTTTGAGGCTCCGGGTATGGGCAGGGAACAGGTGTTCAGAGGGCTCATGCATTTGCAGGGGCGGGTTTACGGAGGCCTCTTTGAGGAATCTCGAGGTCAGAGATACTTAGTACTTAGTCGCATGCGCTGAGCTGCGGTCCTCCCATGTGAGATTCATGTCATGAGCCGAAGCTGGCAGTGCAAACGCTTGAGCCGAGTGTCCGGTAGGTTGTGCGAGCGGTTACGGAAGAGTAGCGTAGAGCCCGTGCCGTTGACGGACGGTTTCAACGTCTTGCAGTACCTTAATGTAGCCTACGCCCTACGCCAAGGGAATTACTGTAAATTTCGTTGGTCTGCATGATGCAGGATTTTCCCCACCAGGTTTAATTGGGGTTCATCCCAAGTTTCCGGTATCCTCACACCTGCGGCGAGGGTTTAGGATTCAGGGTGTTTTCAGGGTGCCTCAAGCCTCAATCAATCTGAAAACCCAGCATCCCACCTGGGCGATATTCCGTAGAAAAGCCTTGCAGGTTCAACTCAGGGTTTAGTGGCTCGGGGTTCAAGGCTTCAGGTTTGGGGCTTACAGGGCCCTAAACCCTAAACCCTAAACCCCCCTTATACGGCTTAGGAGTTAGGCTTTGAGGTTCGGACTCGACGAGGCCTTACGCTCCTGAATTGAACCTGCGGGACTTGGAGTCGAAGGCTCAGAGATAGGCCGTAGCTTGAGAATGTCGGTATGGAGGATTTCTGAGGTTCAGAAACACGTTCAAGGATCTGTAACGAATATTCAATTCATTGCTAATCACCATAACGGTAATACAATAAAACAACTATAATATTAATAGTGCTAATAATAATAATAACAATAATTACTATGATTAATAACAACAATAGTCATAACAACATATATATAGTCGTAGTGCGTATTCAGGCGCCGATATTAGCCCTAAACCCTAAACCCTAAACCCTAAACCCTAAACCGTGGCTCACCAGGCCCACTGATCCGCCCAAGAGGTCCCCAGCAGGCGCCTTCTTGAGCGTCAGCGTCGTCCTTTGCAGTTCGAATCAAAGTCAAACTCGGTTTAAGGTTTAGGGTTTAGGGTTTAGGGTTTAGGGTTTAGGGCCCGTAAACCGTAAACACGATAAGCCCTAACCCCTAAACCCCCGAAACCCTAAATCCTCAGAGGCCCGAACAAATTGAATCTAAGGATCGTGTGCAAAAGGTTTTGAATAAGGCCTGGCGGCCCACAAGATTTCCAGCTTTTCGGTGAGGTTGGGGCTGGCATTCCCCCAACAAGCCCGAAGTAGATACTATGTATTATAGACTGTAGACCCAAAGTAGTCGAAGGGATTGGTGAGTACTTATTGCGCCCTTCTAGTTTTCACGACGGCGTCTGTGACTCTTGCAGGTAGCCTTCAGGCAAGCAAACACTATCAGCCGTACTTCTAAGCCATGTCTGAATTTAGACCCTGCCAAACAAACCCTCAAACTGTATAGCTTTTATTCTTCAGGCGTTGGGAAATGGTCTCCTAGGTCCCTACGTGTAGAGGTTTAGGCTCTTGCGGGTGTCAGGGTTTTCAGATTAACCTGTGCACCTGTCAACGTAGGGACAAAACCAGGTATCTTCAGGCTTCAGTTCAGGGTTTACGGCTATAAGTTCATTTCACTTCTTTACTGTAAACCCTAAACCCCTCTTGAAGGTGGTGACTATAACTCGCTGGCCTAGACTCTTGAGCTGAAAGAACCCTGCTTGCGCTGGCGGAACGCCGGGTGAGAAGGAAACGCAGGAGCAAAGACTTGTTTGGAGCGCTCAAGGGCATTTGGGGTTTATGTAAGATGTTTGCTTGCTGGGTTGGGGTGTCCGGATGGAGCGGAGCGTCTACGGCGTCGTCAAGGTATGACGCCCATGGCCCTCCCACCCCCACAGAGGACTTCATACCAACGGTCAGAAATCAAGATTCCAACATAAATCAAGCCCTAAAAACCCCAAATTATTAAAGACCGACCCTCAGTGTTAAGGTCCCCGAAATACAGTACAGCCTCGACCCATCAGCCGGTTGCACATCGGCACCCTTTTTTGCGCGATCGCCCGCGCGGTTCTTCTGCCCACCCGTTCCACGGCTGCCGTGCGAGGGCTTCGAGGCTAAGCGGTCACATTGGCTACCATTATGAGCTTATAGGTCCCAAAAGACCATCCCGATTATGGTTTGGGTGACCTTTAATTCCACAATAGTCGTATATGTATATATCACCATCACATATGTATATATACATACACATCCATACCGACATATATGGACTCTTTTGGTTATAGTTAGAGCAGAACAGAGATGAGGACAGTGTCGAGGCATGGGAATGAAGCATACTGGTTTAAGATTTACTGCTTCGGATTGAGGTTCAGGGCTTAGGGTTTTAGGTTTAGGGTTTAGGGTTTTAGGTTTAGGGTTCAGGGTTTAGGGGTTAAGGGTTTAGGGATTAGGGTGGAGGGTTTAGGTTTAGGGCGCAGGGTTTAGGGGTGCAGGGTTTAGGGATTAGGGACAGGTCGGACGGAGTTGGGTATGAGGCCCAGGCTAAGGCTTTCAAAGGGGCTCGGGTGATGTAGCTGTATACGGTCACGGGTTTGCAGGGAACGAAGGGTCTCCGGCTTAAGTGTCAGACTTTCTATAATTATAGCTTCGGGCTTAGGTCTTTTTTGGGTTTAAGCTTTCAGTCTGTTGGCTCCACTAGCCCAGAAGGTCCGAGTCTCCGAACACCAATAGTAGGGTTTCAGGTCCGAAACTCCAGACTCTGATTCTTTTGGGGACCTATAACCCTGCTATTTCGGCACCTGGGCCCTTAGCGCACGGCTCTAGAATCTAGGACGTACTTTCCGACAGAATCTCTCTAACTCGGCTCACCAGGTGTGCGACCATGTTGATCCGATCCCTCTTCATCTGGTTCAGATCAACCTTGCAGTGGATCCCCAAACTGGACCCCCAAACGCTACCTGAACCCAAACACAAAACAAAAACCTAGATTCTTCTGGCTCCTACCAAGAATCCTTTTACTATGTCCTTAAAGAATGCAGGCTTTTCTGAGTTCAGGCAGGCTTTTCTGAGTTCAGGTCGTTGCTAGCTACCAGAAGCAGGAATACATGGATTGTTCGGCTATACGTCGATACGTCATCAGATCAAGACAGAAGTGCGGGTTGGGACTATGATAGGAACCTACTGCTAACCTCTGCCAAGCTTGGCCCTAAACAAACGATCAAGGACAAAACCAGCTCAAGCATGTGCAGCCCCAGCAACGCATCCTGAAACTGACGTCCCAAAGCCCAAGTCCAATGCTAAACCCTAAACCCTAAACCCTAAACCCTAAACCCTAAACTCAATCCCAAACATTCCAAGCCCTCGATCCGACTTATCGCGTGCTTCTCGAGATAACGGACCCTCATCTTCCGTAATCAACATCGTGTTTAGGGTTTAGGGTTTAGGGTCCTCTTATGGGGCCGCTGGAAGAGCACTAAGCTACGCGAAACGACCGCCGGGTCAAGCCTGCAACCAACTTTCAAGTTGGGACCACACCGACGTCGAAACAGGAGCCTAGCGTTTATATAGCTTAAAGTATCGTAGCCTATGTTTTGTAGGTACCTTTCTTGAAGCCACATATAGAATTTTCAGGGACCCTACCAAAAAAGGTCGGTTTTGGTAGTGTATAAGGTAAGGTTTAGAGTTCGGGCTTGGGGTTCGGGGGTGCAGGGGTTTGGGGTTTAGGGGAGGGCATAAACCCTAAACCCTAAACCCTAAAGGGTTCAGGCGCTAGTTATGGTCAAGGGGTTTGGGGGGCACCGACACAAGCTCCCAAGTCCTCAGACCCTATAGGGTTTAGGGTTTAGGGTTTAGGGTTTAGGGTTTAGGGCCCCTAAACCCTAAGCCCTGAATTCGGATCGGGTCGTGTCGAGGAATTGGAGTTCGGGTGGGCACCCAGACTTCAGCGTTGGGGCTGGGAGCTCCTGCCCCTGACTTCCTCCCCCCTTGCCTTAGGGCTTAGGGTTTGAGGCTTAGGGTTCAGGGTTTAGGGCTGGTTTGAAGGTTTATAGGGTTTAGGGTTTACGGGGGCCTCGGACTGTGCGGCTTAAAACCCGAGAACAAATTAACAAAGATGTCCCGCGCCTGCTCAGTGCCCATAGCCAGAGCCAGTTCTTGTGACAAGCCTCCCGTCGCCCCATGAGACAGCATACCTAAGCTTTGCAACACGGGGAACCCTATACTCTCTGTTGATGATCCTGGTGACGGGCAGGACGCATGATGTTTATGCATCGCCAAGCCCTACACCGTATGCCACCGTGTGCTAACGAAGCCAAAACCGAAGATGGCCAAGCTCTCCATCACACATGCTGTCCATGGAGGGAAAGAAAACCTAAACCCCCTAGACCCTAAAACCTGAACCCTGAACCCCTAAACCCTGAAACCCTTAACCCCTAAAACAGCTCCAAAGACCGGAGGGAATACAACTAACACCAATTAAGAGCCCTCAGATCCCTCAAAATCCCCTCAACCAAAAAAGCAAACCCCAAACCTCCAAATCCTGAATTCCAATCCCCGAAACCGCATAAGCCCTGAAGCCCAGATTCTCAGCTCCGCATCGATCTGCTTCCTCAGTGGAGATAAAAACTCATCGACAAATCATCCGAAAGTCTCAGAACCACTGAGGCCCAGAGGCCCCACTGTTGATGGTATTAATCCCGCAGTACCTTAAGGACGCTAAACTGTGGGAATTGTGGTATATATAATCACCAACCGTAGTGTAGGCCCCTAGATAAGGTGACCCTAGTTTGAGTTTCGAGAACTGAGCTCAAACTTAAACTATGCAACAAAGGCACCAACCTAAACCCGTGAACAGAAAGCGCTAAATCGCAGAGATCCTTTGCCCGACCACCTAAGCCTCGAGCCACCGAACCCTGAACCTGAACCTGAACCCCCGAAACCCCCTAAAGCCGACTCCGAACAGTCCAAAGTAGACACTATACAGAGACTTGAAACCCAAAGTAGGCACTCTTCGTATACTTGGAGTCTCCGGGCCGGTAAGGTAAGTGTCGCCCTAAACCCTTCACTCGTAAACCTCGAAACCCTAAACCCCTAAAACCGAAAACCCTAAAAACCTGGAAGCCCTTAGCCCCAAAACCTTAAAAGCCCCTTATCCCTGAAAGCCCTAAAACCCTTAAACCCAGAAAGCCCAAAACCTGAAAAGCCCCTTATCCCTAAAAGCCCTAAAACCCCTTAAACCCAGAAAGCGCAAAACCTTTAAAGCCCCTTATCCCTAAAAGCCCTCAAACCCCTTAAACCCAGAAAGCCCAACACCCAAGCGTCGAGATGTTGTTCAACTTCGCTGTCAGCTGCAGTGGCACTTTCTCCAGCGACTCGCGCCTCGGCGACTGCAGTTTAGTTCCGTAGGGTTTTGGGATTAGGGCTTTAGGTCTTTAGGATTTAGGATTGTGGGGTTTCGATTTAGGATTTTAGGGAGTACGGTCTCGGGTTTAGGGCTGAGGGTTTTGGTTTACAAGGCTTAGGTTTTGGGGCTACCGGTTAGGGCTTAGGGCTTGTGAGGTTTAGGTTTCGGGGTTTGCGGTTTAGTGTTTGAGGCTGGGGGTTTAGGATTTGGGGTTGGGGTCTTGGGACCGGCCCTTGGCAAGGATCGCTATGCTGACTCAGGGTTTAAATTAAACTGTAGCATCTCTAGCTTCGTTTGTTGGTTCTTCAGGTTCGGGTTTCGGTGTAGGGCTTAGAGATTGAGGGCATGGTGTGTTGAAGGCTAGAAAGGTTCTGTCACGCTTGAATTTCGGACTTCAGCGCACTTTAACAGGGGTTTTCAGGAGCCTTGAAGTTACAGTCCTCAGCTTGGCAAGCCCCACGAGCCCGATTCTTGGGTTGCAGCTACTTGGGTTTAGGTTTAGGGTTTAGGGTTTAGGGTTGAGGGTTTAGGGTTTAGGGTTTAGGGTTTAGGGTTTATAAGGGTTTATGTACCTAAGCCACTGTTTACGTCACTGGGATTAGATGGCAGTGCTGGCCAAGCTTCATGAACGCCCCTGCGGGCAGTTTGGAAAGGGCTACCAGACGCAGAATGTTCAGGGCAGCAGTCAGCGTGTCCATGCCATCAATAATCTGCACCTGCGGGCGCGGTTTGCAGGTTCAGGGTTTACGGTTTCATATGCCTTGATTAGTTGAGCACCAAACGCCCAAAACATCTAAACTAGTCAGGTTCATTGACTTTTAATTAATGGACAACCCTGGCGCCTCCCCAGACAGCGTGGCAGTGAGCACGCTTATCAGTTGAGATCTTTGCTCGGCCATTTCCCCAGAGTTCTGCGACACTCGCCTCGCATCACGCCCTAAACCCTCCAACCTCGACACTCCTCAACCCCTAAACCGCTACCACACCGTAAACCCTAAGGCCCTAAACTCTGAACCCCTGAACCCCTGAACCCGGAACCCCTAAACCCCTAATTAATTACACGCTCACACCTTAAACCCTACGGGTATGGCTCTTCAGGCTGTCGCTGGGGTTTGCATTCTGGCTCACGGCTCCTGCGGCTGTTGTTCATAAGGATTTCTAACGAGTTTACGGTGTTAGAAAGGTTTCATATGGTCGTTCATACGACTTTATACAGTTTGACAGGGGCTTTGATGCTTATAAGGCCGGCTGATCTTATAAGGTTTGTCAGAGTGTCTTTCTGGTTGTTATGGGTTCTATAAGGCTTCCAGGGCCATGCGAGATTCAGTGCCGCAGTGTATGCTACAGCTGAAGCGCTGGCACCTTTAACCGTTTTGTAGCCCACCAAACCCTGAGGCTTTACATATGGGCTTTTTCAGATTAGGGGTTCGTTTCGGGGAGATGAAGAACCATACCAAAGAGCATCAACAACTAATGTAGGGGGCTTAATAATTATACTAGGTCTTTGGCGGTTCCTTACTGTAATTATATTAGAATATACCCCAAACCCCATTCTAATTATCAAGGCCCCTGTATTAAGGATTGCTTGGGGTTCAGAGTTTAGACGAGCTTAGGTGTCTTGTGTCTAAAGTTTACGGAACAGGGCTCGAAACCCTCAGATTTTGTGCAGCCTCACCTCCACCAGTCGTCCTTGAACAGGCTCACAACGCTCCCAATCACAGCGTCCACACGGCTGCTTTGGATCACCTGCGGGATGGGATTTCGGGTTCAGGCGTTTAAAGCTTCAGAGAGTGTTGTTTCCCTAAGACTCCCAATAGCCCATTGATTCGATGGACTTTAGATCCAAAGTAGGCCCGACTTGCATACTTGGAGTCTGGAGGCTACAGTGGCAGATGGTTGTTCATGCAGTTTACACTTCGAACCCCCCCCCCCCCCCCCCCCGCCCCCTCCAAAAAAAACGCTAGTGGCCAGCCTCAGCGTTGCATCAAACCCCGTCCCATGCTTGAAAGGGAACAGAGAGTCGGCTTGGGGTCTATATAGGGGCCAGGGAAGGTAGGGTTTAGGGTCTAGGGTTTAGGGTGCATCGCATCCTCATAAACCCCTGAATCAAAACAAAACAAGGAGAGAGCTATAGACAGATGGATCAGGTTGCACTTAGCCTACCCCTGCATCTGCACCGAAGGCCGTGTCAGTTTGAAACCTTAGGATAAAAACTAAACTCAAAGTCCTACATCAAACAGCAAAACCCCAAACCCACTCCAAGTGCTTCCTTGGGACCCTGAGATAGAGGTCAAAGCGTGCAGGCCAATCAAAGAACTTCAGCACGGCGCTGGCTGAGCGGAAGAGGGCACCCCTGGCCTTCAAGAATGGGCTTCAGGTGCAGGATTTCGGGTTTAGAGATGAGGACATCGGATTTAGCTAGGGCGCACAGCTGGGTTTAAGGGCGGTTTAGGCTTGTAATGTATCCAAGAATTTTCTGATGATGGTGAGGCTTAGCTGGTCGTGAACTGAGGATGCTTACCTTCGGTCAAGACTCCAGAGAAAGGCCTCCAGTACGAGTGGCTTTAAGGTTTTCTACAAGCATTTCTGTCCTAACGCCCTTGCACCCATGGATCCCCGACTACATCCGACATCGTATCCCTTCTAAGCCTTGGAAAGCCCCCCAAAGCCAAAACACGAAATCCTAAAACTTAGAGTTTAGGGTTCAGGGTGGCCCTAAAGCCTACACATATAACCTGTATCTCCTGTTAGCATTCGAAAGCCGAACCAGGTACCCTGCTCCTAAACGATCCCGAACGACCCCAAACTCCAAACCCTAACACCCAAATCCTAAACTCCAAACGCTATAAAAACCACTTAACAATAAACCCCAAACGACCCCAAACCCCAAATCCTCAGCACCTTACATAAACCCTAAGAGCCCTAAACCCTACGTCCTAGACCGGAGACTCTCACATCCTTCAGTCCCTCAGTGCCCAGGAAAAGGGCCCCCAAATGCAGACCTATCATGACGACACTAGGGTTTAGGGTTTAGGGTTTAGGGTTTAGGGTTTAGGGTTTAGGGTTTAGGGTTTAGGGATCTTCATACTAGCTTTTTGGCAAGAATACTGGAAATTCTAGCAATAGTTGTAATTAGAATGACAAGAAAAATGGCTACTATGACAATCATCCTATAAAACCCCAAAAACCATGAATGCTACTGATGAGAGATTGAAGAATACAACACCGTTCCTTCCCTAATGGGTTTCGCAACAGTGAGCCTGTTAGATATAAAGGATTGTAGCCGAAGCTTTTTGGAACAGCGGCTTGGGACGTGTGGTAGTCTCTGAATATAGAGAGGGAAACCCAAGGAATGTTATTGCTCATTCTTCAATACTATAAACCCTAAACCCTAAAAACCCTAAACTCCTAAAC